GGAGGTGGTGGAATCTCCATCCCTAGAGGTTTTTAAGTCTCAGCTTTGTCAAAGCCCTGGCTGGGATGCTTTAGTTGGGATTGGTCCTGCTTTGGGCAGGGGGCTGGACTCAATGACCTCCTGAGGTCTCTTCCAGCCCTATGATTCTATGATTCTAAAGGGTAGCATGTATTAGCAAGTGCTGATAATGCCACTACAGTGAGGTTTGGGGAAGAAAAGGTCAGAAGTGATTACAGCACAGAACAGATATTGACCAGCACACGCTGAAGGCCTGAAATCTGCAAACAATAGCAAAAACTACACCTGGGGTATGGACAGAGAGGACTCTGATTATTTGAGAATAATAAATGTTTTGCTGTCAGTATCAGGATGGCATTTGGGGTGGACCTTGTTATTATGGACTCAGTGCCTGTAGCATGGTTAGAAGTCTGCTCTGCAGAGTGACTTTTCTTGGAGGTATATAGACAGTTGGGCTCCGTATTACTTTTTAAATCAGATACAGAGTGAGAGAAGTATTGAGGGGGGTCATTTCATTACTCATAGGTCACGTAGGAAGTTGGAGCAAGTGGTATGAACTAAACAATGCTCTCCCCTTTCCAAGTTGACCTCCTGTGCTGTTTGACTGTGAGGCAGGAAGCCGCCAGAGTCCACAATAGGAAAATTAAATACTGTCATTTCAAATAGCAAGTGGTTTATTATATAACAGATCAGAGGGTGTGTTCTATTTTTGGGACCACACTAAGCTAACTGGGGACAGTCACCAACACAGCTGCCTGTGAGGCTGTTTCCAGTGACAGTCGCTTTGATGCCAAACAAGCTCACTTTTCCTCACTAGGGTACTATTCTGAAGAAACCTCTGAATGACTTAGTTGCTTTCCCCCCTATAAATGGGCAATCTGTTTTCCCAGAGTTTATTTGCACATTGTTTTTGAACTATGTATTGAGAGCTGGTGAAGGGAGAGAAAGCATCAGAAAATTAACAACAAAGGAAACCTCGCTGAAAATGTGTGGGCCCTGTCCTCAACTGGTATAAATTAGCTTTAGCAAAGATGCTAGTGGGACCACAGCATTCTACACTACCGGAGGGCTTGGCTCACCTGTAGGAAGATGGAAGAGCATTTTAATTTATAAACCAAAAGATTTCTGCCAATGGCATGAGCAAGCGGTATTCGAGATAGGTGTAACTATAAGCAGGCTTTAAGCCTTACTCTGAAAATAAAGAGAGAAAGGGAAGTAAAACCAATCCAAGTAGATTTGCTAGACAAAACGTGAGTGGTAGGTTGTCAGTCAAAATGCCATTATTAGGGATTTTCACAGATTAGCCAGCCAGGCTATTAAATGTCAGACAGCATTTCGTATCATGGAAGAGAAAAATCAAACTGCATACAGGTGGGACCTCCCTGGTCCAGCACCCTGGGGACCTCAGTGGTCCTGAGCGACAGAGTTTCCCAGATTAGGAGAGGTCAAGGCTCCTCTCCTGGCTATTGGCCCAGCTCCTCACTGCAGGCCCACTTCCCTCACCCTTGCTGAGGCTGCGCCTCCTGCCCGGGTCCAAGGCTACACTCCCCAGCATACTGACTCAGGCTGGGGCTGTGCTCTCACCACCATCTTGGGCTGCACTCCTGGGCATCGGCCCTGCTGCCTCAGGCCCGGGCGGGGGCTTTGCTCCCTTCATGCTGGCCCTGCTACCACCAAGGCTGCACTCCCCACCACCAGCCCAGACCTGGTAGCTGGCCAGGCAGGACTCTCTGGTCCACGGATGTTGCTGGCCCAGAGAGTGCTGGCCTAGAGGGGATCAATCTGTACTTCACTTCGGTCTTGCACCAGTTCAGCTGTGCTGAATGGCTAGTTGGAGCTGGGAGAGGAGAAGGCTACATTTTGTGCTCCTGTATGTCAATGAATGGTCCACCCACAAGCACAGGAGTGAGTGGCTACAGAGGTGCAATCCCTGCCACATAGCCCACCCTTAATAGCTAGTACCTGCAAGCACTCCTTAGCCTCATGCAGGGGTTCATGTGGTGCCGCATGGCAGAGTCTTCTATAATTCAGATTCTAAATGTGATTTAAAAGAAAAACCAGAACACCAGTGTTTGTTTTAATATCACAGATGAAAATTACTTTTTTTGATCATTCATAAACATTTTTGGTAAAGTGGGAAACTATTAACATTCCAAACCGTGCTGGCTGGTCACTTGCCCGTACATCTGCAAAACAACATTCTGATTCTAGAGCCTGATCTTACTCTCATTGAAGTCGGTGGCAAAACTCCCCTTGGCTTCAGGGGGAATAGGAGTAGGCCTCTCCGGCTACAGCTAAACAGCAGCGCTATTTTGGGATACTAAAAGTATCCCAAAATAGCTATTCCACGTCTTTAAACTTGCCCTGCTTACTCCGACTCCTGTGAGCCTCATTATACGAGGAAGAAGGAAAATCAGAAGAGTGCTCTATTTTGAAATAAGTGCTGTGTAGAGGCTCCCAATTTCAAAATAAGCTATTTTGAAATTAGATTGAAATAAGATATGCAATTTGCGTAGTTCAAATTGTACATCTTATTTTGACCTATGGATGCAATGTACAGGCAGTCCCCGGGTTACGTACAAGATAGGGACTGTAGGTTTGTTCTTAAGTTGAATTTGTATGTAAGTCGGAACTGGTACATATTGTAGGGGAAACTCTAGCCAAACATTTCTCCAGAGCTCAGTTTTATTCTCCCACACCTCACTTCCCTCAGTCCTTTATTCTCAAGCTGAGGTGTCTGCTGAGAAAAGCCACCCCGCGTCTCCCTGGTCTGCTGGGGGGGGGGGGCGCTAGCTTCGCGTCTCCCTGGTCTGCCTGGGGGAAGCAGCTAGTGCGGGGTTGCCTCACCCCGTTTGTAAGTAGGGATCTGATGTAAGTCGAATCCATGTAACCCGGGGACTGCCTGCAATTCACCCCCACTGTCATTCACAGGTACTTGAACCTTTTCAAACACTGTCTTAAAATATTTTAGTGGTATATAAAACCAGGATTGATATTGAACCAAATCCTCATGCTCAGGCCAGCAACTCCATCCAGCCAACTTCTTGGATGGTTGACATAAGGTTTGAGGGCGGTGGGGGCAATCAACACTCATTAGGAGATTTGTTGTTTGATAAACAACACTCATTGGGAGAAATATAGGTCCAGTTTGCTGTAAATGCTGCATATCAGTGCCATCGGGACTAGTTGTGTGTGTCAAAATACCGTTGTCCATTATAAGTGTTTGTAGGATCTCAGTCTGTAATCTCAAACCAGAACAATTCCATTACTTTAAATTGTTTTGCTCCACATTTACACCAGCGTAGGTGAGATTAGAATTTGGCCCTTAATATGTATGAAACAAACTCAGCATTGGTGTAAACGTGGACAGAGCTCCTGTTGCTTTTGCCATGACTAGCCCCTGTACTGAATTAGATTACACTTTGTTCACGGACTGGCACTGTGGTCCAATGGATAAGACACTTGCCTGGGCATCAGAGCTGGATTCTCTTGTCAGCTCTACTACTAACTCTCCGTGCGGCCTTCGGAAATCACTTCCTCTCGCCGTGCTTCATCTGCCTTGTATATTGTGACTGTAAACTCCTCAAAGTAGGGACAGTCTTTTCGTATGTGTGGACAGCTCCTAGCACACTGTGGCCTGATCTGAGTTAGGGACTTAAAGCCTCACTATAATATTACTAATTGTATGGCAATTTGCAGCAATAAAGAACAGGAAAAGGGCAGAATTTAACATGCTATAGTACTTCCTGTTAGTACATTTTCAAGGACTTTTGCTGCAATATCAGCAGATACTGTTTAGCCCAAAACATTTCAAATCAGGTCTTTCTTTGTGAGACACTGCAGCATTCAGAATGACTTTCTTACATGGAAATATCTTACCTGACTATGGTTTTCCTGGTTAACCGGCAGATTTACTACAACTCTGTTCAGTTTCCCTGAACGGCATGCTGCTCCTGGACATTTCATCTTTTTCTCTGAACAATCACAGCTTTGCACCAGTTTCTGGAGCACATAAACTAGGTGCTATTTTTATTGAAGCTGACTCCAGATTTTTCACAGCTGTGTCAGTTTGGATTGTTAGCCTCGGTGGTGAATTTTCTGGCTCTTAGGGGTTTTGAGTGGGGATGTAAGAAATTAACCGTCCGGTTGCAGTTAAACTCTTCTGCCCTGCCAGCGTGTGCTGGCTCCTGGTGCACACTGGCTGCTGTCTCCGCTCCCAGGGAGCTGGCTGTGCTGAGGGCTCTGCAATATCCAGAAAACCCTGCAATACGTGTAACCTTGTAACCACTAGGCTTTTTAACCGTTGCACAGTTACGTTTTAAAAACCATTTTTACATCCTGAGTTTTGAGATGCTGATATATGTATGGCTATGTCTACACTACGAGTTTTGCTGGAAGAGGCAATGCAAATGAAGCGTGGATTAGCATTTTCTCATGCTGCATTTGCATACTCTCGTCCGATCCGTTTTTGCGTGAGGGGTTTTTGTGCAAAAACAAACAGTGTGGACGTTTCCTTTTAGCGCAAAACCCCCTTTTTGTGCAGACCAAAAAGGGGTTTTTGCTCAAAAAGGAAATGTCCACACTGGTTGTCTTGCACAAAAAGGGGATTTGGTGCAAAAGGGAAACGTTCATGCTGCTTGTTTTTGCACAAAAACCCCTAGCGCAAAAACGGATCAGAAGAGAGTATGCAAATGAAGTGTGAGAAAATGCTAATCCATGCTTCATTTGCATTGCCTCTTCCGGCAAAACTCGTAGTGTAGACCTAGCCTAGTAGTTATATTCCTACTTTTGTAGCTCTTTTCCAATTAAAAACAAATTCTAGATCCATGTCTGAGTTGATGCATCGATTGGATTCCCAGGGCCAAATTCTCAACAGATACTCAGTGACTGATTTGATATAAAAACCTTAATACAAGTTCTAGAAATGCCATGAATATGCATATGTGAAATAGCTGGGGAGCTCTCCATTAAAGTGCACTTACCGGGACATCCTGCCTTGGAGATAAGAACATTCATCCACGACCTGGTACTGTGTGTGGGGGGGAGGGGAGCTTCTAAATGGCTTAGAAAACCTGTCCAGACAAAACTGCAGGAAAGGAGGCCTTGACCCCCAGCCCTGCTGGGCTCCTATTTTAGTTGGTTTTCCTGATGGACTGGGAGCAGGTGCTCATCTTACAAGTATTCTACCATCAGGTTAGGTGCTGCAGGGACATCAGAGGTCCTGATAGGCTGCTTTTCTCCAGCTGAAGCGAGTACTGCATGCAGTTCTCCCTCCATCATCCAATGTAAAAGTGGCCGGCTTGTGGGTGTACCTGCTCCCCCCGAATGTTATTATGCCCTCTTTTCTCTTTGTGCACAGACTGTGCCATTTGTATAAGCAGTGGTTCCTCTTTGAGGCTTCTCTGCAGCCTCTGTGCCCCATATCTGCTGGAAAATAGGGGTTGCAAAGCAACAAATCCTCAACTAGGAATGCTGCGGGGATAAAAGTGATTCCCTGGTGGTTCCGATCTGATCTCATGGTCCTTTTCCATCCCCCCGGCTGTTGCAGCAGGGCATATGTTGGCTTAACCATGGGCTACCAACATGATACTATTCCATTTCCCATCCCCAGCTGGCTCCAATATTTAAAGGTTGCTTTAAGCTCTTGTTCCAGCTGGAATGGAGCTGTCATCTGGGAGCAGAACAAACCTTCACAAATTAAGTATCACAAAGAGGCTTGGGAGGTCAGAACAGTTTATCTTGATTTTACAAGCAAGAAAATGGAAGCACAGTGAGGTGAGGTGGGCAGTGGGAAATGGAGGCATGTGACCTGCTGCTGGGAAGGAGGAGCATTGGACAGCCTGTGAGTATCACTCATGCACCTTAGGGATGTTTCTCTTCAGAATCTTCATTAGCTTCAGCAGCTGCAGAGCCTGTGCTAGTTACACAGATCTGCAGAAGGAGCTGGCGTGAGGATTTGGCCTATGAAATATAATGACAATGATTAAGACATTATAGGCTTGATTTTTCACAAGTGCTGGTTGAGTACCTGCCCCTCCAACTGAAATCAGTGGGAGCTGGAAATGCTCCAAACACCTGAAAAATTAGGCCTTAATTGTGCCTTTACTGTTTGGCTACGTCTACACTAGACTGTGGCCAGTTTTTCCGGAAAATCAGCCGCTTTTCCGGAAAAACTTGCCAGCTGTCTGCACTGGCCGCTTGAATTTCCGCAAAAGCACTGACTTCCTACTGTATAAAATCAGTGCTTCTTGCGGAAATACTATTCTGCTCCCGTTCAGGCAAAAGTCCCTTTTGCGCAAAGTTTTTGCGCAAAAGGGCCAGTGTAGACAGCTCAGATTTGTTTTCCGCAAAAAAGCCCCGATCGCGAAAATGGTGATCGGGGCTTTTTTGCGCAAAAGCACATCTAGATTGGCACGGACGCTTTTCTGCAAAAAGTGCTTTTGCGGAAAAGCATCCTGCCAATCTAGACGCGCTTTTCCGAAAATGCTTTTAATGGAAAACTTTTCCGTTAAAAGCATTTTCGGAAAATCATGCCAGTCTAGACATAGCCTACATGTTTCTTGGTCAAGAAGCCTTTTGCGCAAGAGTTTTTGCATAGAAACTTCTTGCACAAGAGCACATCCATACCTCAAAGCACATTGCAAAAGAGATGTGCTTTTGCACAAGAGAGCGTCCGCACTGCATGGATGCTCTTGCACAAGAAAGCTCTGATGGCCATTCACAGAAACCTGTGCAGTGTCCACACCTCAAATGAGCTCTTGCACAATTAAATGGGCAGTTAAACAGCACAACAGAGGGCTTTTTCCGCCGTAGGTAAAATTCCTTTTCTGAGGCATAACTGCTTTTAGCAGTTATTGTGCAAGAAGGCAAGTGTGGACATTCCAGAGGGGTGCTGGAGGCAACTACACACAAGCAGACCATATCCTGGTCTGTGTTCTAGTTGCTTTGCTCCCGCAGATTCTGCCTTCTGAGGATTCCCCTGCATGAGGAAATCCTTGGGCGCTGGAGAATTATTAGAGTGGCTCCCATCCAGGCTCCTGGCCAAGGGATTTGGTTGGGGAAAAGGGCATGGACATGGTGTCTCTAAATTCCCAGTGATCTGATGATGGAACAATCCTTAGGGGATGCTGGGAACCTGAGCAAAGTAGAGCAGCCCCGAGGTTGCTCTGAAAGTTGCTCTCAGAACTGGGATATCAGTGAAGGTATAAAGGTGAGAGATTGCAGCCCACAGCCTGGACAATTGACTTCAGTAGGGCTAATTATGTGAGTAAAGCAAGCAGAATGTGCAATTATAAGGACCCAGATAAGACTGCGGATTAGTGAAAGTGATGGGCTGTGTCTAGACTGGCCAGTTTTTCCGGAAAATCAGCCGCTTTTCCGGAAAAACTTGCCAGCTGTCTGCACTGGCCGCTTGAATTTTCGCAAAAGCACTGACTTCCTACTGTATAAAATCAGTGCTTCTTGCGGAAATACTATTCTGCTCCCGTTCAGGCAAAAGTCCCTTTTGCGCAAAGTTTTTGCGCAAAAGGGCCAGTGTAGACAGCTCAGATTTGTTTTCCGCAAAAAAGCCCCGATCGTGAAAATGGTGATCAGGGCTTTTTTGCGCAAAGTGCTTTTGCGGAAAAGCATCCGTGCCAATCTAGACGCTCTGTTCCGAAAATGCTTTTAACAGAAACCTTTTCCGTTAAAAGCATTTCCGGAAAATCATGCCAATCTAGACGCAGCCTTGACAAATCCCACACTGAGCATTGAGAGGTTAAGGAATGACTCTGAGCTCAACCGATCCCACCCTGCCACATCTGAAGCAAATGTGCCAATTGGAGGAACTAAGAGGCAGAAAAGCAGCTTATTTGGGGGCAGGCCAGGAAGAACAGATCTGCTACCACAGCTCCTGGGAGATAAGCCGAGGAAAGATAGAATCTCTCCCAAAACAGCTGTCCAAAGGCCCCTCCCTGAGGGAAAGGAGGGCCCACTGCCAAGAAGCATTGCCTTTCATGTGAACTCTGGACTGGACTGATCCCGTTTGGACTGAGCTGGCTGAGGAGATTGGGCCGTACCCCAGGAGGGGGCAGGTGCCTTCATGCTTCCTTACCTGAGCTCATAACCTTGGGGGAAATGGTAGGAAGTGGCCTAGGGAGGGCTGCCTTAAGCTTCCCTACCTGCCACAGCTCCTATCACCCTCAAAGGGCCCTTATTTGGACCTTGGTGGAGTGGGAGGGCCTGGCTCCTCTACCAACAAATCCTCTGCATGTCACCAGTTTAAGCCCTAACCACCAGGCAGTGCTTCCCTACCAACCCATCCTAAGTGATGGCTGTCAGTTACTAAAAGAAAACAAAAGTAAATGTCTACTGAACTGTAGCTTAAAGTGACAAGTTGCCTCTGAACATGAATAAACCCAGTGCTGGACTGAGCCATATTTGCGCCCCGGGCAGCAGGCACGCAGCGCATACAAGGCCCCACCCCCAGACACGCGGTGCCCCTTACCACTTCAATCAGGCACCCCCCATAGGATGGCGCCCCGGGCAGCTGCCCAGCTAGCCCCCCCCTTAATCCAGTCCTGAATAAACCCATGTGAAATTTTTAAATGCGAGTCAAACCTCAATATACATTACATGAAATATATGCTAGGTTTGAACAGGTTAGGGGCATTTTTTTTAATTTGCTTGCATGGCAAATTATTTATATTTTATGCAACTTGATGTTGCTGTGGGAAACTATTTTCTATACCACATACAGATGAGTCTTCTAGCTGAATTTGGTGATATTAAATTTCTTCTGGGACCAAAAACAGCAACTGTGTGGAACCCTAAAACTTGGTGAACAACATGAAAATTCAGTAATGCTGAAATACGGTACTTCAGTACTAAGGTGGTGCAAAGATCAGTCTGCACTTAAATCTAGGAAGACAGGTGTCCAATGACTTGCACAGTTTTTAAATAGTTCAGTTTAAATGGAGATTAAGTCAAGCTACCTTTACAAAATAAGTAAGATGTGTGTGACAACTTAAAAAGGACCTGTAGGGGAAAAAATCTCTTTGTAAATAATGAATAGTATTAGGGTTTGTCTACACAGCAGTGTTATCACAAAATAACAAGAAGCACATCTACACTACAAGCCTTTATTTTGACATAATGTCAAACTGGAGGTCTTCTTACTCCGACTCATGGTAACCCTCATTTTATAAGGAATAAGGAAAGTTGAAGGAACAGTGTTCTTCCTTCAACTTCTACTGTGTAGACAGCGCCAAAAGCTGAAATAAGCTATTTCGACTTAAGCTATGCAACTTCAGCTACGTCAATTGCGTAGTTTATTCCGACTTTAGCACTGATGTGTAGACATACCATTGGATTGTAATCAGAAGCCTGTTTCGTGGTTGTCTTTGTATAAATTCAGTAATATACATGGATTTTGAAAGGTGTGGTCCAATATGAAATAACAGACATGATATTGTTACATTGGGCATTTTGAGAGCAAATTAAGGGGCTGGTGCAAAACTGATTAAGACAACAGAAAAACTATATTATATTCAGTCGAGTCTGAAGAAGGCCTATAGTGAATATACATCTTTTCTATTGCCAATACTTTTAGAATAAATCCTTACAAATGTTTATCTAGTTCAGATTATATTTCTAACATAAGTTCTGCATTCAGATGTAATTATATAAAGACAGTTGTTTGCAGCACAAGATGTGTATAAATATAAAGTTTATTCAGTATAGTGTTTAGAAAAATAAGTTCACATCATCTCAGAATACAAATAAAACACTTAACTGTCCAGGCACAAACCCCTATTACAGTACCACAAACTTACACACCTTAGATCTCTTTGGTTGGGTCATAAGCAGAAAAAGGTTTGGTGATAGGTTTGTATACCATCACTGAATGGTGCAGTAAAGACTTCTATTTATTTTCTACCCCAATGCATACATTCCGTGAAGATTTCATCTTTCTGGTAAGGCACAATAAACCCATACTGATTACAGAAATAACTGGTTAGTTCTGGACAAACAGTACATGCAGCAAAATAATGAATACCCTTTGAATGTGAATCCTGAAAGCCAAAAGATCCACATGCTCCTTGAGTGTAGAAATGTAAGAAGGTAGTTTTATATTATATGAAATGTATAAGTTAGATATAAAATATCTTCAGGGTAGGATTTCTAAGAGATACAGGAAGACTTCATGTTTCTTCTTCTAAAAATTTCACTATTTTCTTTTCATTGTTTCAAAATTATTAATATTTTAACAACTTCAGATATTTCCTGATCATGATACTATGACACATGCCTATTGGAGTTCCATACACTTGTTTCAAAAGAAGCAGGCGGGATACATAATTTTCGTTATTAAAGGTGCACGGGCCCTGGAAATCTATGCATGGGGACTTTTCCAAGCATTCCCTACCAATATGAGCCAAATTCTGTCCCCTGTAACGTATTTGCAATCAATGGGGGTATATAAGTTTTTTAGTTACAGAACATAGCCCTTATTGCCTCACCGTAGATTTGGGAGAATTTAAGCTTTTGTTTCAAGAAATTATTCTAGCAGTTATGGTCGGGAAAACAATTTTCTTAATTTGAATCAATGGACTTCTGTCTTCCATAGTCCACAGACATAATGAAACAATAATTCTAAGAATTGTAAACTGCCCCATTAATTTCAATAGGGTGTTAACTTGGAAATCTGATGTCAACACTAAGAATAGATCAACCTTGTTAGTTAATTCATTACTGGCACTATATATTGGGCCAAATTCAAACCTGGTATAACTCCAGTGAAATGAGCTGGTGTAATCTGACATAGCTCTGTTAACTTCAGTGGATTTCTGCGGATTAACACCAGCTGAGGATGTGTCCTAACTGGGTCCATAAACATGTTTATTCGGTGTGGGTGGAGTCAGTTGAAAGAATACTTCACTGGACTGCAAGACTGAAGGAGGCAACTACCTGGATGCTCTGCTAACATTAATGAGTCTTCTGGTTCTCAGCAACATCAGGGTGAAATTAAGAAAAATAATAAAATTGTTCAAAAACTTTGACATTTTGAAAAATGTGCTTAATGAGCTTTCATATTTCCCCAAAATTTCTATAGAATCCAGTCAAAGATTTAGCAGAATTTGGCAACATTTCCTGTACGATTGAGGGGGGCTTAACTTTAGGTCATTGTGCACTTCCTGTAGATGGACATGATGTGATGCCAACCTGCTTTTCAATTTACAAGTAAAAAATTATAGCACACATACTTCATATGTAAAGTTTAAGTGTACCTTTATATTCATCCACATTAAATGGAAGAGGGGGAAAAGGATATTTTACTTGACCAAAATATTGTAAGTATGTCTTCCATTTAAACAAGAGAGCATCACTGTAAAGACTATAAAGCAGAGATTTTCAAAGCTGCTTTGGGGACTTTGCCTATTTACAGCAGTTGAAGTTCTGACCCTAAATACTGTAAAGGGCTGTGTATACTGTGTAAAGAAGGCAGGTAATCTGCTTGTCTGGGCAGATATTTAAGGACCACATTGTAATAAACTGACCCTTTTTTTTACTGTAGGAGTAAAAATACTATTTAAATAGCCACTATAAAAACACTGTATTGGGCAATGACACGCATTATGCATATGTGTACCTGCAGAAAACAGAGATTATTATTAGATCATATGGAGGGAATGACACTTATTTTTGATGGGGAAGAGAAGTAAAGAGAAAATAAATTACTTGCTTCCTGGAAGACTAGAATAGACTTATCTGACATTTTTGCACCTCTTGCTGTCCCTGCATTATGTAGGACAGGCAATACTCTTGTTAAAAGTACCAGACATTCTGAGATATGCACCACTGATTGACAAATACCATTTTCATGTCAACCAAAATGCATTGTAATTCATTGCCTCAGTAACATAGTTAATACAAACAGAAAAGTTACCAGCAGCATGTGTGCTGGCAGAACAGCATAGCAATTCTATTATAATATCTGATTGTTTTAACAGCTGAGAAAGTTATATGAAATATTCACTAACTTCCCTCTAAAGACAGTTTGAGCTTTGCAGAACAAAACATGAGGCTCAGAACAACCTCTAGAGCCACACACAGCTTTCAATCCATGCATACAATTTCCATTCATGTAAAAATATAATACATAATAACATATAGTGTCTCTATTCTTCAAACATTAACAAATTAATTCTTGCAAGATTCTTGCAAAATGGATAATTATTATTGTTATCCTCATTTTATGGATGGATGAACTGAAGCAGGAGGGTCACATGACTTGTCCCAGGCCATAGAGGGTGTATGTGAGATGCTCAGATACTACAGGAAGAAACAGTGTCAGAGCAAGGACTGGAATTCTTAGGTCCCTAAGGTTATGTTTATACTTACTGAAAGATCGACATTCCGGGGGGGTCGATTTTCTGGCATTCGATTTAGCAGGTGTAGTATAGACCTGTACATTGAATGCTGAGGGCAACTCCCGGCCGTGTCCAGTACTACTCCTTTTGCGAGGAATAAGGGAAGCCAATGGGAGCATTTGCTACCATCAGCCTCCTGCAGCATGGACACTGCCAAGGTTCAGCTTAAGGTAACCCGACTCCAGCTACGCATTTTACGTAGCTGGAGTTGCTAACCTTAAGCTGAACTTTCTGGTCTAGTGTAGACCAGGCCTAACTTTCTATCCTGTGCTCAAACCATGCCTCAGGTCAGTGGGAGGCATGCCTGCAGACTCAGGGCATTTTGTGGCTCCATGTTTTTAATAATAATTAAATGTTTTAAATTGCTTACTTTTAACAACATTTATGCTAGTCAGGGAAGTAGCCAACTGGCTAGCTGCTTTCTTTTCTCCATATACACTGGAAAGCCTCAATGATCTCTTCTTACAGAACATATTCCTCCATCCTGTCCCTTCCCCAAACCTCAGGCTGCAATGTTGAATGAAACAATTCTTCGCAGGTCAGCTTAGAGGTTCCATGCTGTTACTTACAAGAACAAATTGTATGCAATATAGTGCAAAACAGTGTCACACAGTGGGAAAAGCCACTTCTCTAAACATTTTTGATAAAACAAGTTAGCTATCAAGAGAGAATGAGACAGGGATGCTCCTGGACAGAACTGATATTATCTCTCTTTGTTGTCCTTTAAATTGTTTTGGTCTTTTTTTTGTGTGTGTGTGCAAAAGATGTTCTGTATCAGTTCATGTAGGCCTCAACAAAAGCCCACTGAAGTCTTTGAAAGTCTTTCTCCTGATTTTAATGGGCTTTGAGTCAGGCCTTTTATGACTCATGCATGCTTCAATTATTGTTTTTATTCATATAGAGTTAAAAATATCAACAGTGAGAAGTTCTTCATAGATCTTCATTATTAATTAATAATTATTATTATTAAAGCTTAAGGTTGTGATTTTTCAAGTTAAAAAAAATCCTATAGACAAATGGTGAAATCTGCTCTATCCGTATGGAGCTGAGTGTTTGGGACGTATGTGGATGGCTTGCAGAGGGCTAGGAAACTGAAATCTTTCCTCAGCTCACAGCTAGCAAACACTGTCTTCCCCGCACAGCTCCCTCTAACCATTAGGGGTTTCTGTTGCAGCTTAAGGCCCCAGTTGAAGAAAGCGCCTTCACACCAGTTGCATGGAGCATCAGGGCCATCGGAACCTTGTAAATATAGAACTTTCTTCCCTGGCCTAGCCAATCATAGTTGTCTGTGCTGGCCTACATGAAGGTTTTCTTCTTTGTTGCTCTGCCCACAGTACCTCTGTGAACCCTCCTCTGCAAACTTAAATGATGCAGAGGGCCTTACTCTGACTCCTCACACAACTGATTTCACCCAAAATGCCCCAGAGACCAACTTGTCTTACTCAGGGAAGTAGGCACATTAACTTAAATGGAGCTACTCACAAGAGTAAGATGGGCATAATCTGGCCCTGAGGATGGATAATTGCACACGTGTTTTCATTCCTCCTGCCACTGTGCTTTAGTAACAAGAATATAAGGCCACTAAGAAGAAAGGCACGTAGAATTCTGTAAAAAATACATAAAACTTTTCACTAATTTGAAAATTACTAAGTAAACAAAACATAACAAAAAAACCCCAAAAAACCAAACACAAATATGGGAGCGAAAAATGTTCCAATCTTGCAATACTGGGAGTTCATTTTCTAGTTTCAGTGTGATTAACATTGTACTTTTACAACCTCTATTGATAAAACTCATTGCTTGACCACCCTACAAAAAAGTAAAACCTTGTTGTAAATAATTGTTTACTTCCTGTTCAAACAATAAAAATAAATTAAACAGTCAGAAAACATTTCAATGCACTGTATCTAAAGTGAAAGAGACCAATATAAAGCATAAATAAAATCCACTGTACCAATAAAAAAGTCTCCTTTGTAATAACTGGAATATTTACATTCATACTGGAGTGAAAGCTTTAGAGTTGCATAATTAGTGTTTCAAATCCTTCCCTCCCCAGCTGAACTGGCAAAATGCTAGTCATAACATTTAGAAATCTGCAAAAGTTTGAAGCAAGATTTTTGGGATGAACAGAAGTCTGCTGGGAAAAAAAAACAGTGACAATATTATTTGCAATTGTGTTCAGTTTCTTAACCTCAAACACCATTAAAGTAGCTTGTGAGGTATCGTCTAGTTTCTTAAAATCTGTTCAATGCCCGTGGACTAGGAGTAAACAACAAAAACTGCATTGTTTCTACATTTTTATAAAAACATTTCATTTTCCTTGCTAGTATGAAGAATGTGGACTTATTTTTGAAATTATGTTGTGGCATGGAGATTCTAGATAAACTATTAGGGTTATATTAGTAAAACCAGAGCAACACATATTTGCTTGGTTGTTTATCTTGTTTCCTCTAACCTGCCTCCCTTAATTTTATTAAAAGAGCATACTGCATGCAAACAAAATGTGGCAACCTAATTTCACTATTGTAAATTCCCATGTGCTTTAATGCAGATTATTCAAATGTTCTTCTGTTTTCAGCGGTATTACTACTATCTTTAAATGAGAAAAATCATGGTGCTTTTTAGGGCCTTGTGAGGAGACTTATCTACTGAAACCAAAAGCAAGAATAAGTTACAAATCTTGCATATCTTCATCCATCTGAACTGTCTGGAGTTTGGCAAGCTCTTTTTTGTCCGTTTCCAGTTCTTCACAGACCGTGTCAACCATATTGCTCATAACGTATTTGGATTTTGTGTCCAGCAGCATTAAATTGCTGGTTGACTTACTCTCAGAATTGGATAAGAAATTTTCCTTGACATCAGGTGCTGACTGCAGAACTAACCTGTGCTCTCTGACAAAATCCGGGTGAACTTGTGCAGATGGATGAGTGACATGGTCTCCAGTTGTAGAAACTATTTCCCCGAGTGTAGGCTGCACTGTAGTAATTGACATGAGGTCTTGACTGGTGATGAGGGAACAGTTCTGAAGAGTTGCATAGTTAGTGTTGCTGATTGATATCACAGTAGATGTATTTGTTACAGAGGCTGACATAGACTGACTCTCTGAGATATCAGAGTTCAGTTCTGCAGCATTTAAAAGAGAAGGCGGAGCTAGGGAAAAATTATGTGAGGGTGTTACATTTACTAAAGAGGAAGCCATGGACTGGAGGCCTCCACCAGAAACATTTTCAGAAGATACATTTAGCTGTGTATTCGGACTGACTGGCATTAATTGAGAAAACACAAGGCTTCTTTCCAATCCTTCTTGTTTTACAGATCCGATTGCTGGACCTGAATTGGGAACTGTATACACCACTGCACTGGGAGCAAGAGGACTAAAGAAAACCTTTCCTTGCTGCACTGTTGAAGAATCACTTGTAAAAGTCCCCCCATCTGACGTACTTGGATTTATGGAAATGTTACCTGGGGGAAAAAAGGTATAAATTATAGTTGATGGGAAGTTGTGTAATGATACAAGTTATTTTAGTATACACTTTAGTCTTACCAGTTTTAAGAAATCTAAGAACTACAGGCACCATAGAAGCAATATTCTTTGGAATATTTTAGAGAACATAATGTATGAATAAATGAAAGCCCCTGAATACACAAATTACTTCTGAACTTAGAAAAAGGTTTCAGGTACATTATCACCTTTCAAAGTCTTACTGAGTGGACAAATAATCCATAGCTAAGTGATTGAAATGAACACAATTTGGCCTTCTTTAGCAGCTACCACTACATTTCCTTCTAAGAGTACAAACATAAAAAGCTTCTAAGTAAAGCCAGTTCAGAAAGAGACTAAAATGACACATGGAAAATTACAAAAAACACCCCATGAAGTGACTACTGAGCTAAAAGCCAGAAATATAATTCTGCAGAGATATGTTGAAAATAATACCTTTTGTTGGGCTTTCTATACAAGTCAATTTAGTATTCAAACTGTCTTATGTTCTCTATCAATACGGATCCTGTGAACACATTTCTAAGAGCCCAGTCCTGCCACTTTTACTCATGTTGAATTTCTCAACCTGGATTCTCCCATTAATATCCATGGAACTACCAGAAAGAGAGTTCAGAGGTCCTCAATGTGCATAATTGGACCCAAAGTTGGTGAAATGGTGAGTCCAGTAAGAGTCATTATTACAATGAGTCTCTATGCACAAGATAAATTGGCTCTCAGAGCGGTTTCCACCTTTCAGCATCTCCACTTATCCACCTCTTTCAGGAAGCTATTAGCTATATTTGTAAAGGGGCTGTAATTGGTTTTGGAGATACCCTTTTCATAACATCTACAGCGTATTGCTCACTTAGGAAAGTGTTTAAAATGGGGACTGTTTACCTCCCCCTTAGCTTTCATTAGCCAGTACTTTCAAGGTGCTCCTAGAGACATTTTTGGTTACCATAATTATTTTTACCTAATGAATACACTAGAAAAATGAAGGAAGGAAATTGAAAGTTAAGTGGGAATAAGGTATAAATAAATTATAGCAGCTTACTTAAGATAGCATGGAATGTATTTCACTATGAATACAAAACCACTTACCAGCTAGTCTCACAATTTAAAAACAGCCAAACAGTAAACATGGACGTTTCAGAGAGGTAGCCATGTTGGTCTGTTTCAGCAAAAATCACAAGGAGTCTGGTGGCACCTTACAGACTAGGAAAGTGAGTTGACACTCATGAAAGCTTATGCCCTAAAAAAATTGTTTGTCTGTAAGGTGCCACCGGACTCCTTGTTGTTTTTGGAAACATGGAGGTTTCTGATTTTCCTCTACCCGGGAATTGCCACTGGGGATCGATCACACTCTGCCTAGTCAGGTATTCTCTCTCCAATGCTGAATGGGGATCGATCACACTCTGCCTAGTCAGGTATTCTCTCTCCAATGTGGGAAAATGCTGAATGCTTCAGATAAAGGTTTACAATGCTGCTTAAGGCTGTCCAACATTATACCAGAGAGAGAAATTTCTTCCTCACCTTTGCTGGCTGTCATCCTATTCTTTGGAGCATGTAGATTAACAGTCCTTGTAATTTTACTCTACCCCTTGTAATTTCAGATGGTATTTAAATAAAATGTCTAATCTTCCACTGACAGTGAGTTCCACAGTTTAGAATAGTACAAATGTATCTATCTATCTTGTGCTGATTTATAGTTTCCTTTGAGTGTCCATCCTTCATTAAATTCCTTTTTACTGGAAAAATAACTAAGTCCTTACACACATATACCTCAAGCTAAAACACAGTACAAATTGTTTCTCATTCATGGTCCTTGCTAATGCGCAGAGATTCATATTTGGTTTAAATATTTTCTTAACACCAAAATGCTGAAGATTAATAAATTATAGGATAGTTCAGCTCTGCATTTACTTTATAAAATTCACCCATATCAAAATAATGATCCAGAACTAGATTTGCTTTACACAGATTTTCTCCTTTACTACCTGGAAAAAAATCAATCCATAATAAATGTTAAGGTAATCTCTAAAAGAATCTTTTGGGAGGAGTTCATATAATGGGTATGTTAATCCATGGTGACATACATTTCCGTAGGGCTAAGGTAACATTTACCCAAAATCTCTTAACATTTTATATCTACAAGGAATCACATATTTCTATGACTTCTCTTTAGATTACTCATTCTCTCTTATAATGAGAGATTACAAGCACAACAGATCAGTCTTGTTGTGCCTGTATATTTTGTGGCTTTAACTTTCACAAAATCCTTGGATTAGAAAACAGTACAACTTTCTCACTAGCTGCCAACCTTTTGTTGTTTTTAAAGTTTTTCTCATTTTAAAGTCAGTATTAATCAATAATCTTTTCTCTTTTTTTAAAAAAAAAGGCAAACGGAATTATTTGGAGCTACTAAGTACTCACTGATTTAACACATTTCTGGAACTGTGAAGATTAATACTGAAGGATTCCTACCATGGTATTTTAAAAAGACAGTGAAATCTCACACTTTCCTTTTTGCTGCATTAGACAAAAAAATTCATACCCCACATAACAATATCTCTAAAAATGAAGGAAACTAAGTGTTAAAGGAAGATGTAATGTACGATTCACATCGCAGCTGCCAGGATGCTGTAACTATACACCACTGCACAGATATTACACACTATTAAAAAATGATATGTATTCAGTTCCCCCCCCCCAAACAGCTTTACTTTAGCAAACAAAACTTTTACCTTGTGAAGCTGCCACAGAAACAGGAGGCAGCTGCAGAGGAGAAAACCCGACGGTTCCATTAAGCAACTGGCCATTTGTTCCTGAATTAGGGATCTGGACAATGCCATACTGGTTTATTTGGACAGGAGCAGTAAAAGTAACTACAGACCCTCCATCCTGAGAAGCAACAGTTTGTATGCTTTTCCTTTTCACCTCAGTGCTCGGTATTAACCCTGGGAATGAGACAGGTACATTACTGGGACTGTATGTTGTGGGTGCTGCTGCCGAGTTAGACACAGAAGCCTGGAGGATTTTGAAGTCCTTGACATCTTCAGAAGAAGACACCAATATGTCAGTGATTGACACGCCATTGCTTACAGCACTTGAAGTTGTTTTGGGTGGATTTAAAGTTACTGCCTGTGAAGTCCCCATATTGAGACCATTGAGGATTACTCCATTAGGTCCCTGGAGAAAAGAGCTCCCATTAAGAAAGACAGAAGAAGTACTGGCAGGCACTAGGTTTCCATTCAGCAAAACGCCAGAAGAACTTAAAGATATTTTAGCGTTTCCAAGCTGCTGCATGTACACCGGTTCCATGTGATTGGGAAGGCTGAGGCTGGTAGCTCCGTCGGACGAGTTGGGGAGTGGATGTGGAGATAAATCCTCCTGTCCCTTACTGGATTCATCTTCTGTGCTAGGGTTGCCATCTGACTCGCTATGAGGAAAGACAGAAATATGGTATTTCATTACAGTGACATTATTCATAGGTTTTGAGTCCAGAAGGGGTCACTATGACTATCACACAGGTCAGAAAACAAGACTGAGTGATGTTTATTGTTTGCATCTGTTTTTAAAGCAAGCTTTTAAGAGACAATAAACGGTTTAAAAAATAAATAAAAGTCAAGCCAATAATGAGTGTAAAACTGGATTGTAAACCTGTAAGTAAATTCTCTTTCAGTGGTCATCCACCCAGAATAATCAAAGGGAACTGCCTCAGGGCCATCTCCCTGCCTGCTAAATTGCCCTATGGAATGGTGTGTGCATGTGTGAAATCCAGCAAGCTCAGGAGCAGCCATTTGGTAAGTTACGCGGTGCCTTCTGGCAACTGTAAGGTAAAGCAGAGTCCCAGGGAGCACTGTTAAACCCTGAAAATATCTACTGTCTCCTTGTTAAAAAGAGCCAAGCACATTGGAACACACTAAAGGGGAGACTGGGACCACCCCCACATCTACCTACCACTCACTGTTAGTTCTTGAATGTTTAGATCTGTTAGGAAGACTTCATTCTGTTCCAGTGTGTCCTTTCCCAAAAGGGGAAAGTGACCTACTGGAACCTTAATTTACACAAGAGACAAAGAAACTATTCCAGACTTCCCAGGGGTGGGGAAGGGGAAATCTACTGTGTGGTTGCATACAGTCTGATCACAGGTTCTGGTGTTTGGTTCATTTTTATTTCTGAAGAATGGGATACCCAGACTGCCAGTCTTTCAGAGCAGCACTGCTTTGGTTTATTAGTTGAGACCATACCTTTCTAACAGTTTGAGAGTGGGTGACTAGTAGAGGCAGATGCAGAGAAGGCTCCAGTCCAACTCTGCCTTCAGGTACTTGGAAACAAAGGGTGCCTCTTTCCTCTCTCCTTTGTGCTGGGGCTCAATTAATATTGGAAAGGATTTGGTCATCCAAACTCTCCATGGAATGCATCCAGGAGATGTCAACCAAAGGAAGATCTCAACAACGCTCCCCAAAAGCCTTAGAGGCATGGGGTGTTAAATGCGTTGTATGCCATCTAAAATCTCCCCTCTCCTGGCAACAGGCTCTGTTTCTGAACCACCCAGTGCTTGTCTTTTGCTGACTTTTCTGCTCTCCGTGGCATTTTACTGTTGTTTTTAGGTTTTGTGGGTGCTGGTTGCTCTGAATGTCTCTCCACAGCCATGTGTCCTTTTGATGTGTCCCGAAAAAAGGGGGGAGATTGGATCAGCACAATCTCGCCCTTAAGGCCTTTTTCAACCCTCAGCCTTTGGAAAGGAAGAAGGGGCCTGGAATGTGGCTGGAGTGTGGGGAGGTCACCTCCACCTGGCCGGCTCAAGGCGGTGGAATTCCCCCTAGCCGCCCCACTCCTAGCCCCCAGGAGCAAGGTGTGGGGAGCCAGGGCAGGACTTCCTCCCGGACAGGCACTGAGCTGCGGGAGCCTGTAGTGGAGTCCAACTTCAGGGACACAAGGAAGGGCGAAGAAGGTGGGGGAAACCAGTGGGGAGCGAAGAGCAAAGGCCTCACTCATATTCTCGTCACTGAGCCGCAGTCTAAGCAGGCCTGGCTGGGGGAATCTTCCCATGGTCTTTACCCTGCTTTGGATTCGGCCCGGTGGGAGCCCAGCGTTCCACCGGCGCTCCCCGCTAGGCTCGCAGTGAAACCCGATCCGGACCCGCTCGGAATCAGATTTCAAAACAAGAGCCGCGGCCGCAAGCCGCCCCCGCCCCCCTGCGACTTAAAAACTCGGCAAATGATTAACTCTGTCAACTAAAAAGCGACTCCGCTGCCCCCAGCCCCGCAAGGGAGCTGGCTGTGCCCTTGCAGGGGGGAGAGCCCCCCTGGAGCGGGG